GATTTCTTAAAATTACTATTGGTTATTAATAATACTTATAAAAGCGGATACTCCGTTTGAAACTATGTCATCTCATTGAAATTGATTGACACCATTGTTTTGGTTTTTGAGTTATCATGTAATAAAAAAGAAGCAGAAGAAAGAAGAACAAACTTTTTTCTATGAAATTTACAGACATTCCCAGATCTTGCGACTCAGTCATTACATAAATATTGTTATAAAAGGAAACACTGTATAGTAATGTAAGGTTCTGATGACCTATTGAGGAGATATTTAAAATACAGTTTCGATTAACAATCCGAGCCATCCTGACATAGGTAGTGCTACCGCCTGCCTGATAAAGTTATACAGTAAAAAACAGATACATTTTGGATGAGCAAAAGGGTAAGACAAAGATTCCAATTAAGCACATTGTTATTTATATATATATATATCAGATTTAGAGAAGCAATTAACAAAAAATTAATATGGAGGAATAAGATTATGAAAAATAACAATTTATTTATTGACATATGCAGATTATATAATATTATTATCGATGGAAGTTAAGGAAATACAAGATATGATAAAAAGACAACAAAATGCTTGATTTCAAAAAGTCGATATTAAATGCTAAGAAGACAAACATGATTTTTTTATTAAAGGACGAAAAAGGTTCAGAAAGAAAACTGGTATTAGGGGGGACAATTAATAAAAAACATGTAAAATCTATAACTACTAGAGCTATAACAGTATGAACTCAATCTGGGATATAGGAGAAAGAAAGTTTTAAAATAATATTCAGATAATGTTTGATTCCAAAGTGAAAACAGGACGCGACTGAGAAATTACAGATTAAACATATACAATGGCTACTGGGATTAGATAAAAATGCTTAGTTATATAGTAAAGAAGGAAGTGAGAAAAGAACATATTTAGAAGAAGAAGAAAATAGATAAGATAAAGATAAAATAGATACAAGGACAAGAATAAAAAAGATGGGTAAAGCAATGGTGTTTAGAAATACACAGGAAAAAGAATCAAAGAGAGAGAGAGAGAGATCACTAAAACCATTCCGTAACCAAGATATTCTTATAGAAAGTTCTGGGAATAAAGAAGGCAAAATGAGAATGAGTAAAAGAATTGAGGAAATACATAGGCAACAAATATAAAATAAGATAAAAGATTCGAATTATAATGAAGAGTATAAAAATATTCGAAGTTTTCTAAAACAGTAAAAATTATAAGAAAATATTAGATAAAGATAGCAATATTAAATCGTGGATATGAAATCATAGTAAATATATACCGGTAAGTAAAGAATATCTAATGTTTGACTTATGTCAAAATATTTTACATAGAATGAAACATTTGATAATACACTGTGAAGAGGGAATGGGGCCAAAGAGAAAACTTGTTTGTTTGTTTGTTTTGAATATCGCGCAAAGCTACACGAGGTCTATCTGCGTTAGCAGTCCCTAATTTAGCAGTGTAAGACTAGAGGGAAGGCAGCTAGTCATCACCACCCACCACCAACTCTTGGGCTACTCTTTTACCAACGAATAGTGGGATTGACCGTCACATTATAACGCCCCCACGGCTGAAAGGGCGAACATATTTGGTGGGACGGGGATTCGAAGCCGCGACCCTTAGATTGCGAGTCGAACTCCCTAACCACCTGGCCATGCCGGGCCTAATAGAAAAATAAATGACGAAGAAGATATCGATTAAAGGATAGAATTTATAGAAGATTGAAAACGTTTATATGAGACGTTAGAACAGAAGAGAAAGGGACTGATGAAGTTCAATTGTTTAATATATATAAATTTTATAATGTTGATAAGTAATTAAATTGAAGTAAGTATAAATCAATTAGTGAAGAGAAAGTAAAATCATTTTAGTATCTTATTGCTGACGTCTATTAAAAATTGTCCGTTTTATTTAGATCCGAAGAGTAAAAGAAATTAACTTGTATAATAAGTTGATAGAAACACTCACATTTTTCCTTGGAAAATACTAACAATGTGCCTTTTAGCGTAAACTGCATTTTGAGAAATGAAACAAAATGATTTGAAGCAGTCATAATTTACTCTGTAACAATGTGTAGTAATGCATCTCCACTTTTCTGTAACAGGAGTAGTTGAAAACTCTCATTTGAACAGTGGAAAAATAAAAAGAATTGGATCACCCAGACTGTACTCTGGATGAAAAGGATTTGAAATACTCATATTGTAACTCTAAAAGTGAAGCACACGAATACATTGGAACAAAAGGAATTGAAGTACTTACACTGTGCCCTAGAATAAAAAATTAAACGTACAGAGCAAAAGGAATTGAAGTACCCACACTATGTCCTGGAATAAAAAAATTAAACGTACATAGCAAAAGGAATTGAAGTACCCACACTATGTCCTGGAATTAAAAAAATTAAACGTACAGAGCAAAAGGAATTGAAGTAACCACACTATGCTCTGGAATAAAAAAAATTAAACGTACATAGCAAAAGGAATTGAAGCACATAAATAAATGAAGTTGAACTTCCATTGGAATAAAATGAATTGAAATACCCAAACAGTGACTTGCCTAACTGAAAAACAACACGAATTCAAGTTGAATTTGAAACCTGGTTTTCGTATCTGGATTTTTCTAAAATAACAAATAAGTAATGCTGTTTTCTAAACACACACACACACACACACATATATATATATATTTATATATATTGAACTCTACTCACGCACTATTCATGGTGATTCTGATCTTTTGCAGGTGGTACCGGTACACAAATGACATTTACCCTAAGACGGTCCCTGTAGTTTATGATGCTCGTTTGGTTAAGATAGGAGGATCTTTATTATTACGAAAAGTGACACCAGAGGACTCGGGGAAATATGTTTGTTTGGTGAAAAATAATAATGGACAAGATAAAACAGAAATAAACCTGACAGTAAGAGGTTAGTGAACGTCGCATTATATCTAACTCAAACATTATTAAATATGAGGAACTATAGCCATGGCATTTACTGTGGTTTTTGGAGCTCTCGAAATTCAGAACTTAGAGAATTCCTAATTCTAGAAATATTAGTAGTTCGAAAATATTCTGTAGCATTCTGTATTATAGTTACAAGTGCTTAAAAGGTAGATTTCATAATATTGTTTAATTTTAATTGCTAGGAAGTATAATTCAACTTTAGACATATAGTGGTGTATAACTCCAAGCCAACGAGGCATGGTGTTCTCTTATGTCAACAACTGTGATAAGTCTGTGCAATAAGAATGATAAGAATTGTGGACACGTTACTCCTAATAATCTCATTATCAGCTCTTCTTATTGGAAATCTTGATTGGGTCAGTAAACAGCGAAGCGTTTCGAAATCGTAATCATTATTGTATCGAAGCTTCCTTATTCCAATTCGTTTCGCTAAAATTATTCACAATATTCCTAATATGTAGATATAAAGTAAGACAACGAAACTTTAAAAAGGGTTTTTGATAACCTATTGTTATCATATTTTTACACTAGCTTCTGGGCTTGGATGGCGACAGTAACTTATGGAGAAGTACAACTTGATCTGAAAACCATTTTTTCATAATGGTTATATCAAAGAACATGTGGCTATCTTGTGAGAGAAACATGTTTCATTTACATTCAACCTATGTGTATAAACGTAGGCTTGGATGAACTGCTAAGGAGACTACTGGGATTTAGCGCACCCTTCTCAAAATTTCAAAGAATAATTTTTTTCTAGTTTTGTTCTCTTGTTGGGTTACTTAAATCCTCCTTATATGAACATGAAGTACTAGTTAGTGTTTTGTTATTAGTATTATTATGCTTTAAAATGGCTTAGCTTCTTAGATTTCTAGTTTTTTCTTTATTTCCAAATTATGTATATCTTTAGGATAAATTCCTATCACTTCTAGGTGTACTACTCATGTTATTCATTGTTAGAATGTTAAGGATTAGAGAATGGAAGACCTTCACTGGTTTCATATAGAAATAAATAAATAGCTTGTATTAGACGCAATTCATTTGGTTATATTGCATTTACAATAAGCTTCTACGTAGGACAAGGTAAATTACATAGTGTGGAGGTTACTCACCTTGGATAGAATGAGTAATATGTCCTTTCCTGGTATTTCTCGTACAAATACTTATATGCGACTAAATTTCTATTAACTTCCAATGGCTATCCAGTTAGTTGAATAATTGGACGTCTTGGCAACCGTTTGACCTTGCACTTATTAGGTTTCGAAAATAATGTTTGTAATCAATGTACGGATCAGATATTCCGGCAAGTTTCATGTTGACAACCAAACTAATTCTTAGATATTTTGTACCAGATGAGATAGAATAGAATGCCTTTACACTTAGTAGTAGGTTAATTTAATAAGTACTACTTCGCCTATGTCTAGAATTACCGATATAGCCTGCAATATGGCGTAAAACTTTGGCTGACGTCATACTACCACATTGATGAAGTTCTCTATAACAAGATTTACATTTATTTTCCTTTTTGTTTACATACTTAGTGTCTCTTCTTTATTTCTTACATAATGATGTTTTTCTATGTTCTGTTTTACGCTTTTTTTCATAATTTATCTTTATTTTATTATTAAAGTGTCTCATCTGTACCAGCTCTTTTAATAGTCGTATAAGCTTCGTTACAGCTTCTAATACTTGAACCCACGATTTTAAACTGAAGACATAAGTTTACTTTTTGAATGCTGCTATTTTAATATGTCAAAGAATTTTGCATTCTCTCGGAGGTCGTTTACTGAAATTGGTTTTATTGTTGGAGTAAGATGCAAAAATGTCTATCTTATTTATCTCTTAGTATGTTTTCTTTTCAATTCATTAACACTAGAGAACCTTCACGTCAGTGTAGTTCCTGTGGTACACACCGTTGACGTTGGCAAGTCTGCTGTCTTCCAGTGCAACGTTTCGGGACAGCCAGTGACTTTTCTCACGTGGAAGAAGGATCACGAGCACCTAACACACATAAACAGGAGAGTCCATTTTGTGTCCGAAACAGTTCTTGAAATACGTCATGTCCAAAGACAAGATAAAGGTCTTTACCAGTGCTTTGTGTGTAATGACAAGGATTGTGCTCAAGGGACAGCTGAACTCAAACTAGGAGGTTAGTAGGCTTGTTACAGTTTGTTCAAGGGGCGACTGCATTCAAACTGGAGATCCGTAGAAGTATTATGGGAGGTTAGCAAGAGTGTTACGTTTTGCTCAAAAGAAGGCTAACCCAACTATGGAAGGCTAGTGAGTTATCCTTTATTCAACATACAGCTGGAAGATTATTGCTTTCAATCTTATTGAAGGGAATGTTGACTCAAATTTGAAAGTTAAAGTTTTATGTCTGATTGTCAAAGAAAAATCATATTTATATATCGTTTAAAGAAAATATGAGCTTTAGCAGGAAAGTTAATTAAAATGTTAATGTTTTATTAAAGAGACTACTAAATTTCAATTGGTGAATTAATAACTTCGTTACCATGATTCTCGTTAAAGCGTCCACCAGACATTTGTTCAGATATTACTTCTGAATGTACAACTTACCATTGTAAGGATTATTGTTATTGGCTGCTTCTTTTGTAACGTGCAATTTTATCCTGGATTTTTCAGATATTACCCCAATATTAAAGGAATCCTTCAGATCTGTGACCCTGGAACCTGGATCCATCTTATCTCTGAAGTGCATAGCATCCGGAAACCCACTTCCTGAAGTCCGATGGACCCTGGACGACTATCCTATACCTGGACACATTCGATTTTCCGTGGGTGACTTTGTGACTTCCAAAGCAGAAGTAGTAAGTTACGTTAATGTTACGCACGTCCGGGTAGAAGATGGTGGCTACTATAAATGCCAGGCAACAAATGACGTTGGAAGTGTCTTTAACCGAGAAAAAATTAATGTCATTGGACCACCGTTCGTCCGACCGATGAAGAACACGACAGCTGTGGAAGGAAGAACATTTTACACAAGATGTCCAGCTTCAGGCTATCCTGTAGAAGAAATTAGCTGGGAACACAGTGAGTTCATCACGTACATTCAAATTTAATCCAAACAACGATAACTAGTAACTTTCCACTGCTTAAATAAGCAAATTCACATATTTTTCATGCACGTTATGAATGACTGTGTTATCACTTCAGTGTATCAGTAATCGATGAATAGTCAGTCACATATCAAAATGTTTTCATGTGACTTGAAAATGTTACACTTATTCGCCATTTCTATCAAACAAACTATGAATAATTATCACCAGAGGAAGTTCAATGCTGTGAGTTATCTCCTCTCAGAGTTACAGAATATTAGAAACACCTAAAATGTTTTTTTTATTAACATACATTGGTGAGTATGACTACCTACTGTTACATTTACTTATTATATAGATGGCAGACGAATACCTTACAATCACCGCCAGAGGGCTTTCAGTAATGGAAGCCTAATCATCAGAAATGTAGACCAGCGTAGTGATGAAGGAGAATATTCATGTACAGCACGGAATCAAAGGGGTCAGCGAGGTCACGGAAAAATGTTTGTCGACGTCTTAAGTAAGCAATATGGCCATTAATAAGTCTCAGAGTATTTTAAATAAATATACTATGGTTATTACTCATTTGTCTGGTAATTATTTTTACAAGTTTAGTGATATTTTCCGTATTTTTCATTTATGTTTGAATAACAGATGATTTTCCCTAATACGGTCCTTTCTTTTCAATATAACTTAGTTTTCGAGTTCGCGCAAAGTGCCATTAGCCATATAAAAATTATCATTTGAACTTGAAACTTCACAGAAAACTGTCTATATTAATAGCAAAAAAAAATAAGCAAAATGAGAAATTTTAGCTGAAATTGTAATTTGTTTCCATTTGAGAGGTTAATATCGCTTCATTATCAAGGCTGACTTTAGATATTGCGGTAAAAGTACACGTGATTTGAAACAGCAGACGGAACATTACAAGCTAATGTCGATCGATTATACAAGATACGATAATTAAACTACATCAGCTAACGATATTAATTAATAAGTCGCCTTGACATAACATTCAGGGATTTATTAATCAATCATATTATTAAAAACAAATTATCTTAAGCTATTTTTAAGATAATCTCAGAAATGGAAATATGTACGTAGCAATGACGGAATTATGGATGATTCAGAGTATTAGATTATGGCCACAAATTGAATTTATTGTCCTACTCTGGGAACAAGAACCAGACAAATCTTTCTTGAAACTAGCAAATTTCAGTCTTTTCTGTTTTCTAATTCATATTGTCTGTATGAATGAAACTTATGATGTGGTGACTGTATTTTTCCTTTCTAAATATCCCACTATTCGTTGGTAAAAGAGTAGCCCAAGAGTTGGCGGTGGGTGGTGATGAC